CAAGGCGCATGGGGCAAGACCTGCGGATTGTCTTGAAGCCGAACCCGGTGCGGCGCCGGTTGAAAATCAGGGCCTCGGTTGGAAAAACAACTGCGGTAAAGGCAACGCTGAAGATACGATGACCAGCGGTCTGGAAGGCGCCTGGACGTCGACGCCGACTGCGTGGTCCATTCTGTATCTGGATAATCTTTTCCGCTTCGAGTGGCAACAGGTCAAGAGTCCAGCTGGTGCAACACAGTGGATTCCCGTGGATGAAGCCGCCGCTGGCATGGTGCCTGATGCCCATATCGAAGGTAAAAGAAACGCCCCTATCATGTTTACGACTGATCTGGCGCTGAAGGAAGATCCCGGGTTTCGAAAGATCGCGGAACGCTTCTGGAAAAATCCGAAAGCGTTCGACGAGGCCTTTGCGAAAGCCTGGTTCAAGCTCACCCATCGTGATCTGGGTCCACGCAGCCGTTATGTCGGCAGCGAAGTTCCAGACGATGTGTTTGTCTGGCAGGATCCTGTGCCCGAAGCTGATTACACCCTTATTAATGACCGCGATGCTGCCAGGCTTAAGAAACTGATTTTGAAATCAGGCCTGACCGTGCCGGAGCTGGTGCGCACGGCCTGGGCTTCAGCCTCTACCTATCGGGGTTCCGATATGCGCGGTGGCGCCAACGGCGCGCGTATCCGTCTTGCGCCGCAATCCGGCTGGGCCGCTAATAAGCCTGAAGAGCTGTCGCAGGTGTTAAAAACGCTGACCGGTATTCAGGCAGATTTCAACAGCTCTGCTGCCGGGGACAAACAGGTTTCTCTCGCGGATCTCATTGTGCTCGGTGGTGCAGCAGCCATTGAGCAGGCCGCCAAGGCGGGCGGTCACCAGGTTGGGGTGCCGTTTACACCAGGCCGCACGGATGCGTTAGCGGAGATGACCGATCAACGGTCTTTCGCAGTGCTGGAGCCCCATGCCGATGCTTTCCGCAATTACTATGCCGCGGAGGCTTACGCAGCACCGGCTGAGATGCTGGTTGAGAAGGCTGATCTACTGACCCTGACCATCCCCGAGATGACCGTGCTCCTTGGTGGCATGCGTGCACTGAACGCTAATACCGGTGGGGTGCATCACGGTGTATTGACTGACACGCCGGGCACCCTGACAAATGATTTCTTTGTCAATTTGCTCGACATGGCCACTACCTGGTCAAAAGCAGGTACACAAGGCCTGTATGAGGGCCGGGACCGTGCAACCAATGAGGTTAAGTGGAAGGCGACGACGGTAGATTTGATATTCGGCTCAAATTCCGAGCTGCGTGCTGTGGCAGAGGCTTATGCTGCGGAAGAAGATCTGTTTATCGAAGACTTCGTCTCCGCCTGGCACAAAGTCATGATGCTGGATCGTTTTGATGTGAATTGAGATCAGCGCAACACCGTGAAGGGTGATGTCGCGCGGAAACATAATGGTTGGCGATGATGAAACTAAGGCCGGCCAGGAATTTTCTCTTCACACACCGCGTAGCCTGCATCTGTTGGAATGCACACATACATGCCATCATCCCGCTTTTCGGTCCAGGGCAGAATCGGGATGACCGGCGTCGCCTGAGCAGCGGCAACAGATGCCTCTGGTGTTCGCGTGTTGGCGAGTCGTTCAATGTTCCGCAATGTGGGGAAGATGATGGTTTTGGTGCCCGCCTTGGCTTCATCCAGAGCGTCCTGCGGTTGGATCCAGACAGAATCAACAGATTCATAACCATCGTGCAAAGCAATTTGATCTTCAGGAGCTAACGCCAGGTAAAAGTGGGTATCAAAGCGCTTTGGCATGCCTTCCGGCGTAATCCAGTGCGCAAAGTGCACCAGGGTATCGCAGGCCAGGATTAACTGGTTGCTTTGCAGAAATTCAATCAGGCTCAACTCGCCACTATTCAGCGGCTCCCGATATTGATCCAGGGTGGCAACAAGTTCCGCGTTGACCAGTTCCTGACTGCCTTTTTCACGAGCCAGCAGCACGCCACACTCCTCAAACGCTTCGCGAATGGCGCTGACCTGAATGGCGCGCATATTTTGGTCACCATCCTGCCCGTTCAGCCAGGGCAACAGGTTCTCGTCGAAGTCCTGTGGATCTGCTTTGCCGCCCGGAAACACCAGGGCGCCGGAGGCGAAATCGATCTGATGGTGGCGTACCACCATAAAGACTTCCATGCCTTCCGGGTCCTGCCTGAGCAGCATAATGGTTGCTGATGGAATGGGAGGTGAAGCTTGTTTGTCTGTCATTGTATTTGTTCCGAAGCGGTAGATGATTAGCGGTTAGCAACCTTCTGGATAAAAGTGTCCATAGTCTGGAGTTTCTGTTTGTGGTCACCCATGGTGAAGTCGGGCACGATCAGTTCGTCTACCCCGGCTTCTGCGTATTCGGCCACCACATCTTTGACTTCGGCGGGTGTACCGATGATGTGTGGTTGCTGCATATTGGCTGCGCGCATTTTAGTAAGGAAACCCTCGTCGTCAGACATAAACAGCAGCGCAACAGCACTGCGCTGTATCTCCTGCGGGTTTCGTCCAATATCAGCGCAGTGTGCATCCAGTATCGACATTTTATGTCGCAAAATGGCAGGATCTCCCCACACATTCCACTCGTCAGCGTACTTGGCGGTTATTTTCAGAGTCACTTTCTCACCGCCGCCGCCAATCATCAGGGGTAGCGGAGACTGCACAGGTTTGGGTTCGCACGATGCATTATCCAGTTCGTAAAACTCGCCTTTGAAGCTGGCAGTGCCTGGTGCGTACAGAGCTTTGATCACCTGGCAGGCTTCGTCCAGGCGGGCAAGCCTTTCGTTGACGGTATAGAAGGGCAGGCCATACTGGCGGTGTTCATTTTCCTGCCAGCCGCTGCCGATGCCCAGTACAACGCGTCCGTTAGTAATGTGGTCAAGGGTTGCGGCCATTTTTGCCAATACGGCTGGGTGACGATAAGTATTGCCGGTCACCAGTGTGCCCAGGCGAACACGATGGGTTTGAGCACCCAGCGCAGCCAGAGTCACCCATGCTTCAGGCCAGGGCGCGGAAGTATCTTCGGCGTTAGGCATGAAATGGTCAGCGTACCAGACGCCATCCCAGTGGGTATCTTCCGCGTGTTTGGTCAGTGCCTGTACGTCGGTAAACGATTGACTCGGATTTGGCCAGAAACTAAAGCGCATGGAACACCCTCCCGATGGTGTGACTGGTATGTGAGTTGCGAAGATCGCGAGATTAACTCGGAGATGTTCGCTTATGTCATGGCATATGGCAAACTCGCTGGCCTGTGAATATTGCCTGTTTAACCATTGTGTTCCACCTTCACGGATGTCAATCCCTGAAGGACAAGCGTCAGCGCCTGGCGGGTCTGCGCGACCGCTTTGGTAAGCAGACCCAGGTGGCTGTGTGTGAATCTGCAGACGCGGACAGTTTGAGTCGCGCGCAGTGGTCTTTTGTCGCAACCGCCGGCGCGAAGAAGGTCATCGAAAAGATATTTGCAGACATCGAAACGTATGTAACGTCGAGTGTAGACGCTGAAGTGGTCGACATCCGTGTGCAATGGCTAAGTTGATCGGAAAGGTTCAGGCTTATGTGTTGTTACTGCCTGTCTTTTTCCTGCTTACCGCCTGTGATGCACCTGAATCAAACGGCGACCAGTACCTGCAACGCCTCAGTGAGGCGTTAGATCGCCCAGTCATCACTGCAGCAACCGAAACGCTGCAGTACCCGGCTCGCCGAAACCTGCTGCGGCCGATTCCCCCTCTGAATATCTCGGTTGCAGAATTTGCCCGCCTGCACGCTTGTGATATGGGGGGGTTGGTGGGCGCACGTAATGGCAGCCTGGCGCGCCTGGCATTCGACAGCCAGCGCCTGCTGTATGAATTAAGCTGGTTGCAGGCCGCTCGGGTCTGCATTGAGCAAGGCCAGGACTGGTTGGCGCCTCTGCTTGAGCAGAAGACCGCCAGCCTGCCAGACCTGCTCTGGAATGCAACTTTCGCGAGCGCAGAGATGAGTCAGGCCATGGGACAAAGTGCAGCGGCGGTGAACCACTCGAGCCAGGCTGATGAGCATTTCCGAATGTTGGCGGACTTGATTGACAGTGGGCTGCGGCAACACCTGCAACCCCTGGAACAACATTTTGAGAACACTCTGCGTCAGCTGATGCTGTCTGCGCGCATTGGCGAGCGGCGACATTACTGGTCAACCTTACGTGCCCAGCTGGACGCCGCGTCGGGTGCGTTAACGCGAAGGGAGCCGGCGGTATGTCTGTCAGGTCTGCCAAACGATCGTAGCCGACGTTTGCTGGCGGTCTTTCAGCGTTATTATGTCGGCTTGTGGCAAGTGGAATTTGCGCGCCTGCTCAGTGCAGATGAGTCCTGGCTGACGGCATTGGCACGCAGTGTGGATTTGCTCCAAACTGCAGTTCCGCTTGAGTTTTCAAGCTGGTACAACGTCACTTTGAACAGTCGTGAGATGGACAGCGAATGGCAGCGCACGAGACAGGCAGTGACTGATCATGTAAAAGCCTGGCAGGGTTTATTTGAGCAATGTGGTATTGATGTGGCGACCTTAAGAGGAACGACTTAAATGTCTTTGGTGATGGTTGTAATTGTGGCCGCGGGGGTATTTTTCTACGTCAAAGGGACTCGGGCTGCCCGTCAGCAGTGGCTGCAGAAAATTGACCTGCCTGGTCAGTGGCAGGCCCAGTATGACACCGCAGATAATGGAGAAACACGTACGCAAACGCTGTCTCTACAGGGTCAGCTTGATGCGGGCAACTTTGTTCTGCAGGCGGACGAAAACAGCTGGCGTGGGCAGTGGCAGTTGCGTGGTCATATGCTGCATTTACAGGGTGAAGGCCGTGCTCAAAAACTGGATCTGCACTTTTTTGGTCCGGGCAGCATAGGGTTAGAAGACACAACCGGTGTGCGAAGACTGTACACGCGAGAGCTTAACAATGTCGTGCCGCTGCGTGGTCCTGGCACCCCAAGTCAGCGGCAGCAGCCATGAGTTCGAGCAATGCCCAGCGTCGTCGAAAAAACTGGATTCTGATTGTTGCGGTGTTGGTCATCATGATAATGGGCACGTTGTCAGGCCAGCCTGATCGCCTGCCAACACCTTACTTTGATGTTGCCCGCCCCATGGTGATCGCTCATCAGGGCGGTAATCTGCTGCGTCCGGGAAATACTCTGCTGGCTTTTGATCATGCCATGGCTCTGGGCGTTGATGTGTTGGAGATGGATGTGCATCTCAGCGCTGATGATCAGCTGGTGGTGATTCATGATGCCACCGTCGAGCGGACCACAAATGGTCGAGGCGCGGTTAACGACATGAATCTGGCCGAGCTTCAATTGTTGGATGCGGGTTACAACTGGCCTTTTTCGGACACTGAATACCCTTACCGGGCACAAGGTGTTTTTATTCCTTCTTTTAAACAGGTGTTAGATCGCTATCCTGCACAACGTCTTGTGGTTGAGCTGAAAGAAGACAATCCCCGGCTCGCTCAGGCACTGTGCGATGCGCTGACCGCATCCGGGCGAGAAAGCCTGACCCTTGTGGCGTCATTCCACAAAGCTGCGATGAATCACTTTCGTGATGTTTGCCCGGCAACAGCCACCAGCGCTTCCAGCGACGAAGTGCGCTGGTTTGTCATTGCATCGAAGCTATACCTGGGAAACCTGTTCCATGCGCCAGCGCTTGCCTTGCAGGTGCCGAAAGAGCGGGACGGGATGCCACTGTTGTCAAAAGACTTTCTAGATAAGGCTGATGCAGTCAATCTACATGTCGATTATTGGACGCTGAACAGTGTGTCGGACCTGCGCAGCGCGATTGCAGCAGGTGCCCACGGCATCATTACGGATCGTCCGGATCTGATGCTGGATGAACTGGGCCGTTTATAGAGCTGGACTACTGAGGCGTATTGCGACGATCCGGGATGTCGGGATTACGCCGGGGAAGGGGATCTTCGAGCAACCGATCATCATTGCGGCGATCACTTTTTTTATCTCGCCGATCTTTGCGTCCATTGCGACGTTCAGGGCCATTGAATGCAGACATTTAGGTGCCTTCCGGAGCTAACTGAGTCGTAAAACTTGTGCAAAACAATAGCATATTCGGCTCGATCTCTCACCGTAGTTGCGTACAATGCGCGGCCTCAAAAGTTTACAAACGGCGCGGTTTACTGGTGGCAGCACAATCACCTCTCTCTCTTTTTGATCAGGTTCTGTCGCGCCTGTTGCTGCTTCTGCCAAGTCCAGAGGCGGTAGACTGGTCAACAACGCGTGCTGCGTTATGGCAGCGCGTGAAAGGCCATGGTGCATTTGTGGCCCATGGCCAGCTTGACACGATTTCGTTGGATGAACTTTTACATATAGATGATCAACGCGCGCAGCTGGTGCGTAATACCGAGCAGTTTCTGGCCGGTTTGCCAGCTAACAATGCCCTTTTGTGGGGTGCCCGGGGAACCGGAAAAAGTTCGCTGGTACATGCGCTGCTGAATAGTTTTGCAGGTGCGGGCCTGCGTCTTGTTGAGTTACACAAAGATAATCTTGGTGACTTGAGTCAAGTGGTTGCAGATGTCGCGGGTCAGCCTTATCGGTATATTATTTTCTGCGACGATCTGTCGTTTGATGCTGACGATGCCAGCTATAAGTCACTGAAAAGCGCCCTCGAAGGCTCGATATTTACAACGACGGACAATGTTCTGATTTATGCCACCTCGAACCGTCGGCATCTGGTGCCTGAGTACATGAGCGACAACCTGCAAACCCGGGTGGGTGATGCGGAACTGCACGAAAGCGAAGTGGTTGAAGAGAAAATATCACTGTCTGATCGTTTCGGACTGTGGCTTTCATTTTATCCGTTTCGCCAGGATGCGTATCTCCAGGTGGTCTCGCTGTGGGTCTCGCGGCTGGCGCAGCGGCACGGTATTGAACTTGATGCTGATGCCGAGGAATTGCGCGCGGAAGCGCTGCGTTGGGCGTTAGCACGTGGTGTGCGCAACGGTAGAACGGCGCAATATTTTGCCCGTCACTGGGTAGGGCAGAAGGGTCTGACAGGCTCCTCAATTCAATCAACTGATAATTAACCAACAAACTGATTAAGGAAACATAAAGTGAAACGTCTGGTTTTAATAACGATAGCACTGCTGCTATCTCCACTGGCCACCGCGGATGTGGTTTTACTGAAAAGTGGCGACAAAATGAGTGGCACCGTGGACAGTGTGGCAGGAGGCAATGTTCTGCTGATTACCGAATATGCCGGTGCGGTTGCCATCGCAATTGACGCGATTGCTGAAGTAACCACCGAAGGCTCGTTTGATGTCTTTGTCGGTGAAAGCAGTGTTAACGGGCAATTTGCCGTTGTTGATGGCGCACAGGTGCTGGTTGCTGATGGTCAATCTCAGCCTGTAGCGCTTAGTGATGTTACTCGTGCCGGACAGAACAATCTGGGTATCGTCAACTTCGCCCGGGAATGGAAGTCTCGTGCAGATCTGGCGGCGCAGGTAGCCAACGGAAATACCGATACGCAAAATTACAGTGTCCTGGCGGAAAGCTCACTTAAGCAGGACAATGTAGAATACTTACTGACCCTGCTGATCAGCAATGAAGAAGCTGAAGGTATTACTACCAAGGAACAGCTTGATCTTGATTTGCTGTACAAGCGCTTTGTTTCTGAAAAGTGGTACGCGTCAGGCAACTTTGAGTACTTTGAAGACCCGATTAAAGACGTGGACCGCCGCGTTACTCTCGGTGCTGGTATGGGTTATCAGTTCTGGGACAACAGCTTCGGTGCTCTTTCAAGTGAACTTGGTGTGAGTTACGTCAACGAAGATATCGGCGGAGAAACTTCTAACAATCCTGCTCTCCGTTGGGGCCTTGATTACAAGAAGTATTTCTTCGACAAGCGCATGGAAGCTTTCCACCGTCAATCTGTTTTGTTTATACCAGATTCCGACCGTGGCGAAGTCATTGCCTCATCAACGGGTGTGCGTTACGCGTTAAACACACGCATTGATGCAACAGCGCGTGTTGATGTAAACCATGAAACAAAGCCTGCGTCAGGGAACAGCAAAACCGACGTTATCTATAACGTGGGTGTCGGCGTTAAATTCTAGCCGAACGACCCATACGGCTTTCCAGCCGTTCTATATCAGCGGAAACCGCTTCCATCAATTTACCACCCACCATGGGTGGTAAATTGCGGCATAGCTGTCGTGCCTGTTGAGCAAAATGTAATGCCTGCGGATACGCGCGTATGTTTTCAGCATCTTTGGCCGACTGCCGTGCTGTTTCCACGGCAATCTGCTGTCCGGTGAACTTTGCGCTGGCTTCGGCGAGCGACCCTTCACGTCGATCCAGTTCTCCTTCTATGGTTGCGTCTCTGAGCAGCTTAGCCAGTTCTTCTAAAGCTGAACTGGCGTGGCGCCGTTCGACTTTGCTGCGCAGTTTGACGTTCTTCAGGCCTGAAGGTATTCGATTTATCTGCGCAACTCGCTTCTGGATCGCGCTCAGATGTGCATGATCAGGGTTTGTTTTACTCAGAATGTCGATGTGGTGGGATAGCAGCAGCACAAGCCCGCGGCGCAGGTCTCTATTAATCAATGGGTCGGGGATATGTTCGATGGCGGTCAAAATAGTATGGGTTTTCGACAGCGCTCGAGTCATTTTACGGGCCCGTAACGTCGCTTCACGGCGTTTGAGCTGGGTATATATACCAGCGGTCAAAACAACTGTGGTTGCCGTCGCGGCGATCCAAGCCAGGTAAGACGTCAAAAAATCCATGGTTTACTCCAAATTATGTTCGAAGTGTAGTTCCATTTGAGGATCTTGCTTGACGGGGACATATGACCTTCATAGAATGCGCGCCTCTCACTAAAGTCCCCTTCGTCTAGAGGCCTAGGACTCCGGGTTTTCATCCCGGCAACAGGGGTTCGACTCCCCTAGGGGACGCCATTTTCCATTTGTGTTCTGTTCTGCGATAGCCTCGCGGGATGAAAACCTCATGTCTTGTTTCCTGCTGGGCTGACTTGCTTGCGCTTCAGCGTCGTGTGTAGGTTGTGTTGCGGGACGAGTGGTTAGGCGGGGGCTCGCTGTCCCATCAGCGGTGCAGCGGCTAAGGTTCTGTTTAGCGACTTACGCTGAACAGGCGCGTAAACGCCTCAGGGTTATAAAAAGGGAGTGGCTGTGCCACTCCCTGTCAGGATTAAGACTAAGACTGCGAGCGTAGAGCGTCGCGGATTTCAGTCAGCAGAACCTGTTCTGCACTTGGGCCGGGTTCCGGCGCGGGCTCGGCCGGTGCTTCCTCTTTCTTCAAGCTGTTCATGGCTTTGACAACAAGGAAGATGGCAAAGGCGATAATCAGAAAATCAACCACGGTCTGAATGAATACGCCATAAGACATCAGTACCGGCGCCGTATCACCTGCGGCTTCCTGCAGAGTCAGCGCAAGATCACTGAAGTCAACGCCGCCCAACATCAATCCTATGGGGGGCATCAGCACATCTGCGACAAACGAAGACACAATCTTGCCAAATGCGCCGCCGATAACGATACCTACCGCCATATCCACAACATTGCCACGCATGGCAAAGTCTTTAAACTCACTTATCATACCCATTGGTCCCTCCAGTTCCGTTCCACGGATTTTATTTGAGGAATGATTGTATGGATTTTCCGTCACTTTGGGATACCCAATCTGATGAAAAAATCAGGTTTTACAATAAATTTTCGATACGCTTCTGTTTAAGTTATGACGGCTTCAATGGGGCGGTGCGCCACGCGCGCCAGCACATCACAACAATCCAGGCCACTGTGACAATCTGCACCGGTGCCCAGCTTTTGTGCCACCACGGAACTGGGTTGATTGAGCAAATCGCCTCTCCCCCCAGGGTTGTTTGTGAAAGCGCTTGCCAGATGGGAATGAGTGCCAGCGGTACGAGCAGAAAGAGGGGCAGCACAAACCAGCGTATGATCTGATGCACCTCGGGGAGCTTCTTTGTATTTAACAGTAACCAGCTGAAACCAAAAACGATTGGAGCAAAACCGAACAACAGGCGCCACAACTCGTCTGCATCAGAGTTGCAGCCGATAATCCGAAGGGTGCCGAGCCAGATCAGGTGTGTATAAATAACAAGCCACGCCACCAGGCCGGTGCCAAGGCGTAAAAGCATTTCAGGTAGGCTCATCTGGAACTGGTCCGTTAGCGAGGTGCAGCAGAATGGTAACAAACATCTTCGTCAGTTGGGGTGTACTGGTGGCCTGATAATGCGGGCAGCGACTTGAATAAGGCACGCAAATACCCAGCCCAGGCCTGCCAGGGCTATGTCTATCTGAGCATCCCAGATGTCACCCTGAGTGCCTAGATACGCAGCGCCGAGATCACCGCCGAAAATGATTGCAGCTGCCCATTCCATCAGTTCGTACAACGCTGATACAGACAGGATGATGTGGCCGGTCAGCCAGTAAGCCGGGAGTTCGGGTTTGCGCATGTGTTTTGCCAGCGCCTGGCTGATAGGCAGACTCATCAGCAGACCGAATGACAGGTGCACAAAACGGTCGTAGTGATTCCGTTGCCAGTCAAACCAATCATTCATGGAGCTGCCGAATATGAGCTCTGTGAAGGTGTCATAAGGGGTTAGCGAGTAGCTATAATGGGTGCCGATGGTGTGAATACAGAACATCAGGAAGAAGCCCCATTTGCTGTAGGCAGTGAAACGTACCGTTTTTGCCAGCCAGAGCACCACAACAATCCCAAGCACGGTGGCCACCTGTTCGATCAGCCAGGTGTGGCGGTCAAAGGGAAGGTAAGCACTCCACAGCCAGATGATAATGCCCAGCCCGATCAGCCATCTGGACAGTAGATTTGCAGTGAGGCTGAAATGTTGCACTGGTAAGTCTGCACTGAGGGGCACTGAAGTGATCTCCCACGATCATCCTTTATGCAAGCTAACAGTACCGGATCGCGTGGTGCAAGATTAGGGTTTTCCCGTAGCGACAGGTGATACATTAGTGGAGGAGAATGACGTTATATGGAATATCAAGATTATTACAAAACCCTTGGCGTGGAACGCGATGCCGATGCGGAGTCGATCAAAAAAGCCTACCGCAAACTGGCGCGCAAATTTCACCCTGATGTCAGCAAAGAAGCAGATGCTGAAGCAAAATTCAAGCAGCTGAATGAAGCTTATGAGGTGCTCAAAGACAAAGAGAAGCGTGCTGCCTACGACCAGCTTGGCCATAACTGGCAGGCCGGGCAGGACTTTCAACCCCCACCAGGCTGGCAACCTTATGGCGCTGACCCGCGTCAAGCCGGCTCCTCATTTGAGTTTGAAGATTTTGCCGATCTGTTTGGCGGGATGTTCGGCGGCGCGGGTCGGCAACAGGGACCACGAGCGCAAGCTAACTTGAATCTCCACGCTGCGCTGAACCTGACTCTTGAAGAGCTGTATAACGGCAAGCCGGTTGAGCTGTATGTGCGTCATCCCAGTACCGGTGAAGAGCGGCAGTTACGGGTAAAGGTACCCGTGCATCTGCGCGATGGTGAATCTTTCCGTCTGAAAGGTCAGGGCGCTAAACAAGGAGATCGCACTGGCGATCTTTATGTCGAAATCCGGCTGGTGCCGCATCCGGAATTTGAGGTGCGGGGTAACGATGTGCACATGCGCCTGCCCGTCACACCATGGGAAGCCGTATTGGGCGCTAAAGTCGAGGTGAAAACGCTGGGCGGTATGGTCAATCTGGTTATTCCGCCGCGTTCACAATCAGGTCGATCACTGCGGTTACCCAAACGAGGGTTGCCAGGCCCTCAGCCAGGCAACCAGATTGTGACTCTGGAAGTGATGGTGCCAACAGACCTTGACAGTAAGAGCCTTGCTCAATTCGAAGAGCTGGCCAAGTCGTGTGATTACAATCCCCGCAATAAAATCCAGCGAGAGCGATATGAAGCGCATCGTAGTTGAAACGTTACACCTGCAGAGCGAAGTGATTGCCGATGTCACGTTGGGTGAGGCCTGTCAGTTGTGTCACATTGAAATAGATTTTGTTCATGCGCTGATAGAAGAAGGCGCGTTGGACCTGGCGGATGGTGACGATCCCGTGCTCGACCGAGGTCAGCTTGCGCGCCTACGAAAAGCTGTTAGATTGCATAAAGATCTTGGCGTGAATCCACCCGGGGTCGCGCTGGCATTGGAGCTGATGGATCAGCTGTAGGCATCCTTAAAATCCCATACGTTAGCCAAGCCTGACAGGCGAACCCATTTTCAGAGTTCGCCTTCTGCGACAACTTTACGCGTCGTCGTTACCCCAGAATTTCCACCAGGGTCTCTTGCCTTTGACCTTTTCTCCAGAAGCCTGATACTGCTCTTTGACTTCTTTGCGCTCTTCATTGCGTTCCCGCATCTGTTTGGCGGTCTGCGAGGCATTATCACCTGCCAGCTCCTGCCGTTCTCTGTTGCGTTCTTCCGCACGCTTCATGTCACCTTCGCCGTCCTCGACGCGCTTCTGGATCTGCTTTTCCGCACGGGTCTGGTCACCTTGAGCGTCTTCTTTGCGCTCACGAATCCGCTCTTGTTCGCGCGCCTCAGCTTGCTCCATCGCAGTGGGATGTCCCGTGGACTTACCCTTTGGCATAACCTTGCCGCCTGCGCTGGAACCCGGTCCTGCGGCAGCGGCGGAGGTTGCAGCGAGGGTGAGTATCACAGCCGCAACTAAAATCTTTATGTTCATCTATAGATCTCCGATTGTGAAAGGCCTATTTTGACAAGGCGCCACACGCCTTGCCATTGGTGATAGTACGGATAAACACAAGGAAACCTCGCAGATTGAGTTTCAGGGTTGTGGGTGGATGTAGTATTTCGACAGCAGAGTTATGGCGTCGTACAGTATGGTTATCAGCTTTAAGAGCAGCGTGTGATCCCCGGCAGCTGCCGCACACAATATGGCATTTGAGCTGGAAGATTGTACTCTGGCATCATTCGATGTGCGTACTTGTTGCTGATCTTTGAGTTTAAGCGCGACTGTGCCGTTAGCAGGTGCGGGTCTGTTATTTTCGGTTTCTACTCCACTTCAAATGTTGATTAGCGCCCACAAGTTACAATGTCGTTTCCGAAGTGACCGG